TTATTAAAGGGGGGAATGCAAAAGAGAAGGGAGTATTAGAGAGGGATTTATTGCAGCTGTCCCTGGTTAATGGGTCTAATAAATGTATATAAATTTCCACTCGATAATTTCTATCTACGAGACCCTTCAACCATTATATTCAATCTGGTGAGATATGGCCAACATAATCTTTATATTTACCATAAAATAATACAGTAGGGCGCATTGGGGCGCAATGATTAAACTTAATGGGTTAAATTACATATCCTTCAAGTGTTTGAATGTTCCTCAAAAATGCATTAATAATGATGCAATATAATATTTATTTATACAGGTTTTGGATTGATTAATTTTTTACCTTCCCAGACGTGCATGCAGAAACACGCAATTTAATTCGGGATGATCACTAATTTATCATCAGCGTATTATTTAATAGATTCGTGAACTAAAATTCTGATTCTCATGTGGTGCCAGAGGCCAACCGCAAAGAAAGGTCGACGAAGCGAATGCCGGGAACTTTCCCATTACTGGACCACAAAATATTTTAAACATTTAGTATTTTAACATTTTAACATTTCATTACGTTTTTAAGTGATGCTTAGCAAATCTTTCTTGGCCAAAATTCGCCAAATTTCAATATATTTATAGAATATAAATTGTAAATTGAATTTGTTTCACAAGAATTGAAGTCATACTTGTTCAGTATCTAAAAAAAGAGGAATCAAAATTCCGAGAAATCAAGATTCCAGTTGTTTTAAAAATAGGAATCCAGGAACACGAGGTTCGGGGAATTCCGGAATACTATACCTTGTCTCTCAAGGTCAAGAGCGCAGCGAATGTCGATATAGTAACTCGTGTCCCAACTTCTTCAATTGTACTATACATGTTACCTATTTGAGTTGGATCGAAACTTATATCCAACCTTGACATTGCTGTAACACTTCGTTTCTTTGTTAACATATAGATATGCAACAAATTAATCATTTCATGTGGTAATGATGTAATAATATATCTTGACCGATGCAAATTATGTGAACTAGCAGATGATTTCTGATAATAAAATTGATACAATACATGCCGTGTTTTGTCAAAATTTACGACCGTACTGCATTTTTGTATCTGCGAAGCAGATATATTGCCATCGTGCGCGTACCGGAAATTTGTAAGCGTGCTCATAGCCAATCAACGATAGCTTATAGATGAAATGACGTAATGATACTAATTTCAAAATGGCGGCTTACTAAAGTGTGAAACAAAAGGCAATTTGTGAATTTACGAAATCAAATCAGTTTAAAACAACGTCATTTTACTAGTCTGAATAAGGCAAATGTCGCTAGTGCATTTTTGGCAAGCATTTGAAAGGTTTCATCATTTAATACGCAGTGGAAACGAAATGATTTGCAATTTTGGACAAGAAAATTATTGACTAATGGCATTGAGAATACTATTATGAAATTATGAAAGTAATGATTCTTCCACATGTTGCCGTTGTTGGTGTATATCGAGTTGTAAGTGTTGATGTTTATGTACTTCTCAATTTAACATTTTCATTGGTGACTTAGTTAATATAAATTAGTTGAATGAAACCAATAGAAGGCTATATAATTTACATGATTTATTTATCAATGATTATAACTATAGACAATTGGTGTCTGCTTTCATTACAGACTTTGATAGATCATTTTTATTGGGGTGGGG